ATATCACATTGGTTTTTTAATCATGAATGAATAAGGACAAATCTATATTCTACAATGTTGAAAGACTCACAAAAGAAGGAACAACTTATCTTACTACCAAAGGTCATCTCACACAATAGGAGATATCTGTCTATCTATCCATCCATCCACACAAATATGTATATATATCTCATATATATATACACACACATATATATATCTTCTATTATCATATATATATATATATATATATATGGAATTAGCTCATAATTATGGAGGCTGGTAAATTCAAAATCTGCAGAACTGATATTCCCATTTGAGTCTGGAGGCTGGAAGCTGCTGTAGAACTAGGCACTAGGAAAAGTCAGTGTTTTGACTCAAAGACTATTAGGAGAATTCTCTCTTACTTGGGGGAGGGTCAGCCTTTTTTTCTACTCAGGCCTCCACCTGATTACATAAGACCAACCCACATTATACAGGGAAATATGCTCTAATCAGTTTACTGATTTATTATAAATGTTAATCTTATCATAAAACACTCCCACAGAAATACTTATAATAATGTTTGACCAAATATGTGGGCATCCTATGGCTTAATCAAGTTGACACATAAAACTAGCCATCACATGATATTATCACAACTGGCACAGGCATCACATATTGGGATTTCCTTTGTTCTATTAAGAATATATTAAATCTGACTTATGACTATGACAGAGAAGGTGGTATCAGACTAAAACCCTTCACTAAGAAAACTATAAAGATAAATAAAATGTAAAATATAAATGGCTAAAGATACCAGAGCACTATAAGGAATGCCATGACTGAGAATGAGAAGAAGATTCTAAAAAGAAGGGAACTGCATTGAGATGAGGCTTATAATTGTTGCTACTTCTCCCGTCTAGGACTTTGGCTGGTAAGCAGAGCCTTAGAGCCTACTTTAGTGTCACTGGGTTGGAGGAACAAAAATTGGAGTTCAGAGTCAACAAGCAGATAGGATTTAAGGGACCAAGATTCTAGAGAAAAGAGAACCACAGAAAGTGAACCCAATGTTCTTCAGGCAACTTCCTCTCAAGGCAATTTTCTGACTCCTAAGTGGTATGTACGTATGCGTGATAAAATACTGAATAATTGTGCAAAAGCCACCTCCTTCAAGCAAAGATCTTAGCAGGCTCACAGTAATGAAGAGATAAAAACTGATGTATAAACATGTCGGGGGGGTGGTGGGGGCCCAGGCTTTTAGTTGATACCTCCTAAAGTCTACATCTTAGGGATAAGTTCAAATTATTAAAGAAACAAAAAATAAACAAACCAGACCTCAGAAAGACTGAAACCAATCTTAACTAGATCAAGGTAATCTTTCTATACTTTATCTGCCTGAGAGAAGAAAATAAAATTTTCTCTTGAGAAATATAAAACTACCAAAAGCCATATCATTTTTTATATACACTGTATGGAATTCAATACAAGATGACCAGGAATTCTACATAACAGGAAAAATGACTGCAAAGTAAGAGAAAAAAATAGACAATAGGGGTTCACAGGTGATATAGATATTGGAATTTATCAAACACAGACTTTAAAATAACCCTGACCTATTCTATGTAATAAAATAGAAGAAAAGATGAAGAATTTCTTTAATAACAGGAATATATTAAAAGAATTAAATACTAAAAATTAAAATAACTGAAATTCAGAATTCAATAGATTCACTTAACAGCAAATCAAACACAGCAGAAGAGAATGGAAGTGGAAGACAGGCAAATAGAAAATATACTGATTAAACACAGAAAGAAAAGACAATAGAAAATGCAGAAAAGAACATTAGAAACATGGGGCATAATGAAAACATATACCTTATGTGCAATTGTGGTCCCAGAGAAAGAAGAAAAGATGGAATAGAAGTAATATTCAAAGAGATAGTATCTGAAAGTTTTCCAAAACAGACATCAAATCATATATTCAAGAAGTTATATGAACTATAAGCAGGATTAATACATTAAAAACTATACATTTGGAAATAATTGAAAGACAAAGAGAAAAACTTTAATACAGCCAAAGGGAAAAATACATTACCTTCAAAGAATAATAAGACTTATGAATACCTTTTCAAACCAAACTGTGAAAGTCAAAATATATACAATGGGATGACATCTTTGATGATGAAAGAAAGTGTCTGGCTACCTAACATTCTATACTCAGTAATAATATCCTTCAAGCATGAAGACAGAACAAAGATGTTTTCAGATCAATTGGTTTGAGTTTGACTAGGAAAACAGAGACACTGCAAGCATTTTTTGGAACAAAGGGTTTTAATATAGAAGTTGGGGTTTATACATGTCTAAGTGTGGGAGGCATAAAAGTCTAGAAGGCTGCAGCTGGAAAAACAAAATATTACCAGCAATGTTAGCCAGAATTGCTGCAGTTGGTGGGATAACAAAGAAACATTGAAAGCAAAACAAAACACAAACAAGCAAAACACCTCTCAAAAACAAAGCTGGAGGACTTGACTTAATGTTAAGACTTGTAAAGCTACATTAATTAAGATCTGGTCCTGACACAAGAAAAGACAAATAGCTCAATAAAATTATAAATAGAAAGTCTAGAAACAGACCTGCCTATATATAGAATATGTATATCAAGTGCTTACTGCTTCACGCTTAATGTCTTCATTTGATTTTCATAACAATTTTGTAAAGCAGGCCTTAGACTTTTTATTTTTCAGAAGAAATTGTGCTGGGGTCTCACCCTGGGAGCAGGGTCCATTAAGGCCTGTGGATCTGGTGGAGGTTGACTAAAGAAATGTAAAGTCAGAAATGACAAGAGACAAAGAGACAAGACACACAGAATAGAATTTTCAAAGTCAGGAATATAGGATACCACTGCTCATTTGTGGAGTTCTAGCGTGTTTGTTCCACTAAGTGTTTGTTCCACTCAGCTTTTATTGAAAGCTATTTGCTCATTAGTCCAGAGGGTAAGCTGAGGAAGTTGACAAAGAAATTAGTAGTTTCTATGAGCAAGCATATGAGCTCCTATTATTTCTATAGTCATTAACTTAAAGGGTCTGAGCAGTCTTGAGAAATCTGGAACCTGAGTCTTGTGTAGGGTTCTCCTGTCTGTGATCACACACACAGATTCCTTCAGGGGAGGTGTTAATCCCCACTAGTTCACTAATGGAGTAAACTGCTGCTGGCATCAATCTCTGAAGAATTGGTGGGAAAGAGGAATTTTTTTCTCATCATCACCCCAGGAGTGTCTTCCTCTGTGATAAGGGATATAAGCCCTGCTACTCATATTTCAGGGCTCAAGCTGTTAATCTCTGCCCTGGCCAAATACAAACCCCCACAATGGATATTTGCTTTGGCTGTTGACTGGGCAGGGGACAGCCTAGTTAATGTTTCTTGTTAGGCCTTGCATACAGTATCTTCTGTGGTCATTATATTTTCAGAGTGTTCACAGACCCACAGGGGTGATTGTAAGCTATATCCCCTACAGGCCAGGCTTCCAGGAAACTGCTCAGGTAAGAGATTTGGCAGTGGTTGGTTTAAAGGTAAACTAGCTGACTTTTTTTTTGTTCTGCCTTGCTCAGCTGATTTTTTTATGTTCCCCCTTTTCTGGGGGTGTTTTCCCTTGCCAAGAATGGGGGTTTTGGTCCCCATTCTGCCTGAAAAACTGAGGCACAGAAGGGTCAAGCAATATAACCAAGGTTTCCCAGCTAATGGAAGTGTGTAAAAAGTCATGAGAATCCAGGACACCTGCCTCAACTGACCTTCCAGAGAGAAGGGGAGAAAACCAAAGAGAGAGTAGTTTTCCATCTACACAGCCCAGAATAGAGCAGGGTCCCTCCTATTAAATATTGTCTCGAAACTTAATGCACCTGTATTCCACATCCTCCACTAGGCTGTTTTTTTCTCTACCTATCATTCTATGGTGACTTCTCTGTTACCACTTTGCCCACAACTACATCTGCCTGTAGGCTGCTACCTGCAGTCTACAGGACCAAGCCCACACCCGTTCCCAGCTCCCCAGAGCTTCCAAACTTATTGCTGAAAGCCTCTCAAGCACTTCTGTCTGCTGTGATCCCAACTAAACTTTCCATGGCTGCAAAGTGGTTTTCTCTCATTTTACTGGAACATATCTTTTTCTTTCTTTTCAAGGTGACCTTTGCCCATAGTGTCTCTCCCCTGCCCTCCTTCCAGCTGTCCTATCCTTTTCTCTTTATTTAAGGCTTACCTGGTTTTCAAGATCCAAGCCTTGGGGTTGGGGGTGGGAGGCTCTGCTACCCAGGGTCTTTGGGGAAGGCTCCTCCCTAGATACACACCATCTACAGCACCATCTAGTGATGGATATTGTCATGTGCATGGGCCACACCTACAGCTGATCTTCCATCCTCTTTGTTTCCTCCCCACGAATGCCTCCTGGAGGGGCACTCCTGAGAGAGCTGGACTTCTGATCTCTAAAGGATGCTCTCTCAGGATTGAGTACACCCCCATATTCATCCCACTGGCTCTGCCCGTCATCCCTCCCAGTCATGTTGGTTCTCACACTTTCTTAGGTCTCGGGGTCCCCCCGGTCTCTGACACTCTTTTCTTGCTGCTTGCATTAGGTCTCCCTTGCTGAGTCAATCCATTATTGCATTGTCCCATCCTTATACCCACTTCTCTATGTGACAGATGGACTGGAACCCCTGTCCCAAGTCCAAACTGCTGTTAAAGTGATCCAACCCCTGATGCCTGGATGAACAATGACACTTCAGGACAACCTCACTTGGCTGTACAGTCAGTTTGGCCACTTGAAGGGAAAGACTTGCTTATTTCTCCTAAGGTTTCTGTGTCTTTTAAGGAACACTCAACAAATGTCTACAGTGGTGGTGGTGCAAGTCTCCCAAGAGGCTGTAACTTCAGGGCTGTTTTCATTTTCAACTTTCTAACCATGGTTAACACCAGACTGGAGAGATCATCAAGTAAATGGCCAGAAACTTCTCTGGGAGCTGGCCCTCTCTTGAAAGCATTGCTCTTTGGTGTTCACAAACCCAGGGTCAACTTTATTGGAATCTTGGCACACTAATTAACTGATCCACATAGCAGCCACATGGTTGCAGGCTGGTGCTTGTTCTATCTGTTTGGATTAGACAAGAAGAAAGACACTCCCTGGACCCTCTACCACAGTCACATTCCAGCTGGGTTAACAACTTTTCCTAGGAAGAGTATGCTCTCGGTGGTCACCTCCCAGAGGAGCAACAGGAAAGGCCTGTTGAAATGAGCAGATGGGACTGAGGTAATGTTCACAGGTGGGGGCTGGGAGAGGAGGCCTGAAGCAGCAGTTGCCTCGGTTCCCTTCTCACTCATGGTCATTGCTGCCTTGTGTAACATCTATAAGGAAAAAAGAAGGAACACAGACACATCATTCAGAGGGCTTTGAGGGTCAGATAGCACCTTCTGCAGTAACGGGGAGATGAGCCCTGTCTGCCCCTTGGGCCCTGTCTGCCCAGGGTGCAACTCCATCCTTCATTTAATCTCCCTGCTCTCTCCACCTCCTCCCCTCCATCACTTCTGGAGGCCTTCCTTTAATAGTGCAGGTCAGACACACAGGACCTGAGGGAGGCTGAGGGCTGCTGAGTGGGCATCAGGCTGAAAAGCCCAACAGTGACTTCTAGGAGCATTTCTCAACTACCTAAGTGCACGTGGCCCAGGCTTCAGTGTCATATTCTGCCTCAAATTGCACTTAAGTTCTCAAATACTTAGTTTTCTCATCTTTAATTTGTTGGCTCAGCCTAAATCAATGTCATTCAGAATGGGCTCAGTGGATCCAGGATGTCTGATGTGCCAGGCTCTCTTCTAGCCTTCATTTGAGGACCTTTCTTCTTCTACTAACTTCATTTTCACACAACTTCCTAGGAAGAAAGGGTTCTCAGGCTTAAAAAGAAAGTTGAAAAATCATTGGCCTTGACAATTCCTTTTATTTCTAAAAAGCTCTATGATAGGATCAATCTAACATTTAAGGTCACTGTGAAACAATTCTTTAAAAAATTGAAACTATTTCCTTTCTCTCTTGTTCACCTCTCAACACACACCACACACACACACACAGCCATGTGCCTGGTGCCTTGGTTACATGTTCAACCCTCAGCTGATCTTTCCCAAATAAAAGATAGAATACTTTCCTTCTGAAGTTCCTAACAAAGACTCAAATGGTAATGAACAACTCTATTCCCCTCTGCCCTAAAAAGGACAACTTCAGCTCAGGGAAGGGCTTTTTCTGCTTTCCCTGCTATAGAAGAACACATGATTATCCCCAAATATTATCTGTCCTTGCCTGTTAGAGGGTTATCAATCTTTGTCCATTCTACTAGACTTGTGGAGCCTCCTGCAGGGAAGAATGAGCTCCTTCCCATGGGTAATGATCTTGTCCATGAGACTTACTTTGGCCAATGGCATGGGAGTGACCATTATACTGGCCATGTGTGCAGAGAAGTGTTTAGAGCCATCACACAGCTTCTCTTGCTTCCCCATATCACCCTGCCATGAGAATGGTATGTTCCAAATATGGACTACTACTTTAGCCTACATCCTAGAAAGGAGAGGACAGCAGTTTTGGAGTCAATGCTAGTGATCTGCTTCTGACAAGTAACATTAACAGGAAATAAGCCCTTGTTGTGATCAGGCGCTGAGGTTTGGGGATATTTTGTCACGGCAGCAAACCTGACTGGTGCACCTTTAGTTCCTGCCCACTACTCTCACAAGGGTGTCCAATCTTTTTTCTTTTCGGCTGTACATTGGAAGAAGAGGGGTTGTCTTGGACCACATATTAAATACACAAATACTAATGAAAGCTGATGAGTAAAAAAAAAGTCCATGCATAATTTTCATGATATCCACCCAGATAAGCAAAAATGTCCTCATCCACCCAGATAAGCAAAAATGCAGCTCATGGGCTGCAGATTGGACACCTCTTCTTGAGTCTAGAGCTAGAACAAAGGCAGATAGAGCTTCAAGGTTGCCTTGGGAGGAAGCACCAAGAATAATAACAAAGCTATCCCATACTTGTGGAAATTCTGGTTCACGGATGAGCCTGAATGAGCATCTGCTTTATTCAGAAACCTCTATTCCTGCCCTGAAGAATCTGGAAATCTAGAATAAGAGGAGGTGGAGAGTGAGCTTCCTATGAAAAGAAGCCTTAAAGACTGGTATTAAAGAATCTGAATAAGGTAAATAACAGGGAACTTGACTTCCATATGTGGAAGGAAAAAGACCCTCCCACTCCCATACACACATCCACATCCAGCACCTTACCCTAGAGATAGTTGTGTTGAGCTTCCGACCAAGGCCTGATAAGCTAGCTTCTATGTTGAATATGTTGGTGACACCAATTCGTGGAAGTATCTCTTCCAGGTTATATGTTCCAGCAATTGAAATCCTTGGCAAATGCAAATCTAATAGACTGAAGAGAGAATCAGAGAGAGAAATGGTGCTGTCTTATATATACTTCTCTTAGTCTGTCTGTGAGCATCCTCATCAGTGGGAGAGAGAAGCCTTTTCCAGCATGAAAGGCAATCAGTCTTCCCATGACACTGCTTACTATGGAAGAGCATTCCACTGACCATAATACCCAGAGCTCCCTTTTCTTTGGACCTCATAGAGTGTCTTGTGGCTGGATCTGAGAAGACTCCTGGCATAGCTGTATCATCGTCATCTTCATCACATTTATGGAGGGCTTTCTAGGTGCCGTATGTTAACTAGGTTTTTATAAGGCTTACTGATTAAATCCACAGAATGACCATATAAGGTAAATACTGTTAACATTTTCCCACCTCCACATCTCTGAATCATATCCTAAGTCCATCTGCTGGCATCCCCCTAAAACAAGCCACCATCATTTATCACTTACCTGAGCTTCAGTTCCCTCAGCCGTAAAGTGGGATAGTGATGCTCACTCCATGGGATCCAATGACAGATCATGTGTGCAAGACATGGGTCACAGATCAATGGATTGGCTCTCCCTCTACTTATCAACATGCCTTTACCATCAGATTGGCACATTCTCTGGGTTAAATTCAGAAGTTTCTTTTGATTCAGAACAAAATCCCTTTTCCCCTGGGATTATTATTCTCCTTAATTATTGTTTCACAATTTCCCAGACACCTATAAGCTTGACTAGTTTACAACTAACTCGGAAACTTCTGTCTCTGATGAATTCAGATTAGACAATCTATCAGGTTAGAGAATCATTGTCAGTTAACTCCTGGTCAATAAGAGGGTCCAGATGCCTAATTGAAGTAGGAGGACATCCTGGCCTACTTGATGACTTTTCTGCAGGCAGCACATGTGGTGGGGTGGGGGTAGGGGTTTTAGTAGGGGTAGGGATTTTCTAATGTGTGGTATAGGGGTATCTGAGATGGGGCCTTACACACAGTAGGTGTTCAACAAATGTGACTGAGCAAATGGATGGAGTGCCAGGAAGCATGATTCCCTCTGGCAACCTAACCTTCCTCAGGTTTGAATGGAGATAAACTTGGCAGAGACTGAAGTTTTCATGCCTAAAAACCCATGAAAATATCTGCTAACATTTTATAAGGCTCTGTCGCAGGAAGCATCTGAGATTTAGGAGAGTAACTTGGGTTGGTTTTGCTTTTAGAAGGTCAAAGTGAGAAGTCAAACTAAACCTTTCCTGAGGGAAAATCTCCTATTCTATGGTTTTCTTCCCTGTGTTAGGAGAAAGGAGCAGGCTCGCCCCAAAGGAACCAGAGACTATAGGGCTGAAATTAGCAATTGACTAGAACTACATAGATTCATAACAACAAGGATAATCCCTTTAATCCTGGCCTCTCCACTGGGCCAATACTTCTTATTTGGTACTCTAATCTTTGTCCCAAATAAAAAACACTTTCTCTCTAGCCCTGATACCTCAGTATAGATGGGCCCTGAGAGAAGTCCCCTGTGGGTATAGAAGGTGGCTAATGCCTATAGACTGTGGTGGCTTAAAGATGGCCATTGGAACGCAGTGTTTATGGCCCTCCCATTGAATCTGAGGGGCCTCTGGGACTAGTCTGACCAATATAGTATGGCTTAAGCGCCATTGTGCTCATTCCTGGACCCAGATCTTATGAGAGAGGAAGCTTTCAATTCTTGTCTTTTAGAGTGCTCTGTGTTGGAGACATTAGCTGCCATTTGTTGATACCAACTAATCTGAGCTGCCGAGCCTAAGATAGACTTGTGGAGACACTGCCTGGGGAGAGGTGCTTGCTCATCCCTAATCTCTTCCAGTCTGCCCAGCTCAGGCACCAGACACATGAGCAAAGGATCCTTCAATTGCCATCTGATCCAATGCATGAGAGCTGCCCAGCTGAGCCTCGTTAACCCACAAAACCAGGGATGGCAGTTGTTTTAAGCTATGATGTTTTGGGGTGTCTTGTTATGAGCAAGAAGTAACTAGAACCCAGTACCAGATTTCATCCCAGAGAATCCCATAATAGAAGATGCACCCCAATAAGGGATTAGCTATGAAAGGGGTCTAGGAAAATCAGAAAAGACTGAAATTGCCAGCCAAAACCACAAACCAAAATGCAAGGGAGGTGGAAGGTGATAAGTAAGAGATCATGTGAAATTGGTACTTTGATGGTTACAATGCTTTTCTTGATATTTAATTTCTTTTAAAAAGTTTCAATCAAAAAAGGGGCACCTTTTAAAAATACACACTATTCTGTGGAAGTCATGATTATTCTCAATAATTGTCCTTGATCTTTTTTTTTTTTTTTTTTTTTTTTTTGGCCGAGGCTGGGTTTGAACCTACCACCTCTGGGATATGGGGCCGATGCCCTACTCCTTTGAGCCACAGGTGCCTCCCGTTGATCTGATTTTTTGGTTACACCCAACTACTTTCGGGCAGTAAATTATTGGCAGTAAATTCTGATAGGGAAGAAGAGGTTGGTGAGAGAAAGAGAGGCTGGGACAGACTCCAGGAAGGTGTAACAACAGGGCCTGGTGAGTGCCTCTCATTTCCATGTACCAGGGTGAATTCTCTGTGATTATTAACTCAATTAATTCTCTGAGTAACCCAGTGAAGTATCATGTCCTTATTTCCACAGGTGAGGAAATCTGAGGCACGAAGACACAGGCAAAATTCCAAGATTATCCATGATTACCCATGATTGAAGTGTCCATCAATTCATGAGTGGATAAACAAAAAGTGGTACACATATATGTATACCGTGGAATACTACTCACATGAAGAAGGATGGATTAAGGCCTTTTGCAACAATGTGGATGGAACTAGAGACCACTGAAGTGTTTAAAGAATGGAAAAACAAATCCCACATGTATTCACTATTAAATTGGAAATAAGCAATGAGTACATATGTGCACAGGGGAAAGTAAAACTCAGTGGAAATAAAGTAGAAGAGAAGAAGAATGAGGCGGTGGGCAAAAACTGCCTAACAGGTACAATGAACACTATCGGGGTGATGGGAACATTTATAACCCTGACTGAAGCATAACAAAAGCAATCCATGTAACCAAAAACATAGTACCTCTTAATATTTTAAAGTAACAAAAAAAGATGGTTCCTGGAATTTAAATTACTAATATAAAATATGAAATAAGCATTTTAAAACACACACACACACACAATTGCCAAGATCACACGGGTAGTAAAGAGAAGACAGTGAGCCAGACCCAGAGGCTGGGCTGTTGCTGTTGGAGTTGACTGGGAACTACTTGAGCTCTTTAGCAAGGTCATCCAGAGTCCTTCTGCTCTGGCACTTACCTGGGCATGAACAATTGACCCCATTTTCTTAGGGTCTCCGGCTGTAGAGCAGCCTCCACCTTCTTCATTTTCCCTGGGTCAGGGAGGATTACAAGTGCCAGGGCATTTCCACTGTACTCTATCTGGAGGACAGTGCAAGCCATCTCCTGATCATAGTGGAATCTGTGCATTTCCTTTTGGTGCATCATGGGGACTTGGAGAGAGGTCCTCCCATCCACAGAGAAGCTCTCCTGCTTCTGGGTCTGGTAGCGATTAAAAGGATGCTTCCACTTGGCTTAGGACACAAAACCAATAAAACCATAAGAATATGTTCCAAGAGAGCACCTGCAGATAGATACACACAAGACCACACTGGTCTAGGGATTTCCTCCAGGGTGTGCAAGTTGGAGGCAAAGAAGTGGCATGGATACAGAGCCAGGAGGCCAGAATCCAGGCCTGGCTCAGCCACTAAAGCAAGTCAACAGATGGAGCTCCACAGGCCTATGATTTTGTTCCATTTCAAAGGAACTTAGCCTTTATGAGTAGGGTGACCAGATTTTAACATTTGTAAAGCGGGACAACATGGCGGTGGGGGGCGGGGACAGGGCAGGGCCTGACAACAATGCAAACTTTGATAAGCAGTTCTCGATAATCACTTCTCAACAATTATTTGTTATTATTACAGTTTAACATTATAAAATTAACAAAAATAACATAAAACTCATATTCTGGCAAAATAGCCACATGGCAGCCGAAAACCGTATATTCCCTTCCTGTTCTCCCACCCGTTCGTGCATTCTTTCCAAAAATCAGGACCTTTTTAAAATACCGCAGGACGTGGGACAAATTGTTATAAAGTGGGACTGTCCCACCAAAAGTGGGATGTCTGGTCACCCTATTTATGAGGCCAAAAAGCATTTCCTTTACTAAGCACTTTCCATGTGTAAGATACTGTCTCTTTAAATAATCACAAAAGCTAATAATAAATAAATGCTATTATCCCCATATAATAAGCAAACTGAGTCTTTGTGAATGTATTTAAAAATCCCAATTTTCAGAGCCCTTAAGTGGCGGAGCTGGGATGAGAGAACTGACTCTGACTCCACAGCTCAGGTCATTTGCAAACCTGAGTTGATCCTTCTCAGCCCAGGTGCCTCAAGAGAGCAACTTTTAGCAGAGAAGCTCAAGAGCTTCTTCCTTCACTCCCTGCTACCTCCCTAACCTTCAAACTGAAAAAGGAGAAAGAATTCAGTTAATAAAATGTAATGCATAATGCAAAAACCCGTTAATGTGGTTAGAAATGCAAAATCTATGGGTCACAATTGTGTCCACATGTGTAGTCTCTTCTCTCTTCTTATAATCTGGCCCCACAAGTACCTCCTGAAAGCACTAGCACTTTCAGGGGGCAGGGCCACACTCAATCTAATCAGTGACCAAGTATAGCTGATTCTACCTCCAAAGCTGCAACATTATTGAAGGCCACCATCACACTTACATTGGACCACTTTGAGAATGTCTTGTCTCTCCTCTCCCTATCTCCCTCCCCTCCAAGCCATCTTCTAAATTGTAGGCAGACTGCTCTTCCTGAAACAGATGTGATCATTTTCCTTCATGCTTATAACTCTTTGGCAATTCTGGGATTCCCTGGGTAGAGTGGGATGCTCAACACAGCCCCTCCTCTCTGCAGTATAGCTCTTGGGCCCTCCACAGATGTTTCTTCATTGTGTTTGATGTTCTAGCCCCAATAAATTTGGTTCATTTCACTTCTTTGAAAATAAAATGATATCTCTCTTCTCTGCCTTTTTTTTTTTTTTTTTTTTTTTTTTTTTTGTGCAGTTTTTGGCCAGGGCTGAGCCTGAACCCACCACCTCTGGTATATGAGGCCAGCGTCCTACTCCTTTGAGCCACAGGTGCCACCCAAATTTCTTTTCTAAAACTGCAAATTCACTGACTCTCCCAGATCTCATA